GGTCTAGGTGAGCTACTTGGGCTCCTCGAGACTCAGTTGTTAGTTATGCATGCAGCCAACACTTTTCTGGATTTACATTTTGTGCTTCTGCTTATTCAACATCATGTAATAAACATTTTAACTTCTTTTCAGTTTATTCTACATTTCTGGCTAGCATATCCAACACATTTAAAGGAGAAAGAAGAGTGTATTTGGGGGAGAAATAATAAAACCTCACAGTTATTAAACATGTCACGTCCATGTACCAAGGACTTCTTTCACCGGTCCTACAAAGCAGATGTTGTTATTCCTCAGTTCAGATGAGGAAACTGAAGCGCAGGGTTAAAGCTAGCCCACAGCTGTGCAGGTGTGCAGTGACATGGCTGTGATAAAAGCTAAATCTCTGGAAGCTGGGGCGGGAGGCCTAAATAATGTACACACGTGTACATAAATGTGAAAAGAGTAAAATAAAATGAAAACACCTAAATCTCTTTGATCATCCAATGCATGGTTTTCCTGCTGCCTTACACTGCTTCCCCTAAGCCCGCTTCACAATGCAGCTTCTAGAAATAAACTTGTCGCTTCTTTACCTTTGTCCATCTATCACCTGCCTTGCCATTATTTTAAAAAAGAAAGAAAGTGGTCTTTATGGAATGATTCTAGAATATGTAAACAGATCTAAAGCTATTGCATTGACAGGTTTTATTTCCTTTTTTTTTAAAGACAAGATCTTGCTATATAGACTAGGCTGGCCTTCACCTCTTAATCCTCCTGCTTCAGCTTCCTGTGTGTTGGGATTTCAGATGTGTGCCACCATGCTTGGCTTTTCTTTCAGTTTTTAAGCACAGCAAACATAGCATTTTAAACAAAGTTAACAGTTTTAAACTGTAACAGTTACTCAGAGGGGTGGGTTAAAACTGCAAGGAAATGATTTGCTGAAAGTATTAAAAAAGGAGAGTGCCAAATGCCACCTAAAATACTTGTTACATTAGGGAAACCAGTAACAAAACAAAATTAAAACATACAAACCCCAAACCTCAGCCTGGAGAACTGATGGAATCAATCCTATCTATTACGTGACAAAGGAGCTACTAACCATGTATCAAATCATACACAGTGGAGCACTTAGCCACTTAAGCTCCTAAGAAAGACTGGACAACATTTTACCAACATCACATACTTAAGGCAATAGGAAGAAAGCTATCTTTCTGATAAGACATCTATAAACTTTGTATTTTTGTACTCTAAGAAGTCATAATGTTTTTAAAGTCCTAAATTTTGTGTCTGAAAGTAGATGACAAAAAAAAAAAGGCGACAAGTCACAGTTCTTCAGCATCTTCCTCATGTAAAAATTGTTGTAAGGATTAAGTGAGTCAATATCTGTAATGCACTAAGAATATTCAAAGAGGCAATGCTCTACTTTTTCTACCAGTCTTCAGAACTGAGAAGACAATGAGATAAAATAGCTGATTTTCAAGTTAGTTAATGGGAAAAATTACTTTTGAGACGTGGTCTTATGATGAAGCACAGGCTGATCTCAAACTTACAATCCTCCTGTCTCAGTCTCTCGCATCCTGGGATTGTAGGCCTATGCTGTCACATCTGGTTGTTAATGGGAATTCTCAAAAAGAGATGCCATATGATTATCACATAATTAGCAAAAATTGTTATATATTTTACTGAGGATATCATGAGAGAAATTTAGATGCAGTAAGAACATTTAGAATATAACATGCTGCCTGAGAACGTACAGTACATAAACAGTGAATTTTTTACCTTGTAATGTGCTTCATAAAATATAAGAGAATGGAAGAGTCCATTAAGCTGTTTGACTCTACAATCCATTTGAATGTGAAAGTGATAATCAAGGTGGCTGCTCAGATAAACTGCATGTGCTCTCCACTCCTCCCAAATCACATCCTTGCCTCAGAAAATGTACTTTCAACTACTTGTAGCTTGTTATGATTGAGTTTGTCAGAGGAGATGTAAGAATATTTTTCCTATAGTGTTGCTTCAACCCTCTGGCCTTTTTTTGGGAGGGTGATTCTGGGGTTTGAACTCAGGGTGTCATGGCTGCTACCACATGAACCATGCTTCCATTTGTTTTTCAGATAGGGTCTCATACTTTTGCCAGGGTTAGTCTCTGACTGTGATCCTCCTACCTTTGCCTTCTGATTAGCTGGGATTACTGAAATGAGTCACCATGCCCAGCTTGTTTTTTTGAGATAGAGTCTTGCTAACTTTGTTGCCCAGACTGGCTTGGAACCACTATCCTTTCTCCCCTTCCTGAGTAGGTAGGATTCCAGGTGTGCCCTTTTGACCTTCTTAAGTAAGGACTCTCTTCCTTATTTCCAAGTTCACTAGCTGATCTTTGAATTATTTTTTTCTTTTTTTGAGCTACTCCACCAGCCCTATTTTTGTGTAGGGTTTTTCAATATAGGATCTCACAAACTATTTGCCTGGGCTGGCTTCCTCCTGATCTCTGCCTCCTGAGTAGCTAGGATTGTATTTTTTTCTTAAAATAATCTGATAGAGAAAAAGGCCAAAGAAAAACTAGACAGAAGATTCCTCTAGTGACATTTACCAGTGGTTTCCAAACAGGGTCTAAGGATTGGTCAGGGATTCCTAAGACTCTTGCTAGTGCACTGCATGGAGTCCACACTACATACCTTTCTCCTGACCATGGGGGAAGAGCAGGAAATCCTTATCCTGCCCCAAGATCATCTGCTTTTCAGATGGAAGGAAACTCAAGGGAAGGGACAGATCAGAAGTCACTGGCATTCAAGGAAGAATAATGAAGATGATCAGGGATTGAGAATCTTGGCATGGCAGGCACCTCTGAGTTAGGTCAGCTCATCCTTCTTTGTGCCACGGCACTCTCCTTCCCAGCAACTCTTGAGAGATGGTCCACAGGCCTCTGCCTAGACCTCTAGTGACAGGAATCTTACTTTCTCTGGTCTGCTTGATCCAAGCCAGAAATCTGGAATTTATCACAGATTCTTCACATTATCCAATCTTGTGTGTTTTACCCTTAAATACCCCTCAGATCTATCCCTCCCACACTATCTTAGTTAGGCCTCCTTTTTCTCATCTCTTCATGTGGTCCTGCAATAGCATCTCACTATCAGATTTACTGCTACCAAATGATAGCCTCAAAGAGTGGTCTGTGGAGCATGTTTTATTTTATTTTTTTGGCTGTACTCAAGTCAGGCCCTCACACTCCACCACTTGAGCAACTCTGCTAGCCCTGTTTTGTGTTGGGTATTTTCAAGATAGGGTCTTGTGAACTATCCCCCTGGGCTGGCCTTGAACCTTGATCCTGCTGATTGCTACCTCTTGGGTAGCTAGGATTACAGGTGTGAGCCATCACTGCCCAGCTAATGCAGACTTTAAAACAATAACCTAGTCATGTTATTTCCTTTCTAGAAACCTTCTGATGGTTCACAAGTAGTAAGAGGTATCAGGCTTTAGCCTGAAGCCCATATTATGGCACTCTCCACGTTTCAACGGTACCGAATGGCTGTGGCACCCACAAGCATCGAGCTATTTTGCATCTTCACAGTTTTGTTCCTTTATTGCTTCTGGTTGGAATATTCTTTCTTCTCTCTGTCAACAGTTAAATCAGTTCAGAAATTATCTCAGGAGGGATATTTGACATCCTCCTTTGTGTAACATCAAGAATATTCCATGTGTATCTCTATAATTGCATTTATCACATTATCCTGAATTCATTAACAAGTTTGCTTCTTTTTCTCCAGGTGAGTCCCTCAAGGCCGGGACCATGTCAGCATCTTTTAGCACATGGCACAGGACTCATGGTAGCAGGTGTTTAATATAAGCCTGGTAAACCCTAGGATATTTTTTTCTGATGTAAGTTAAAATTTATAACTCCAATGGTCCAACTTTTGCTCCATGAGCAATAAAATCCATCTCTCCTGGAAAACAGAACATTTGGCTAGTGCATAAAAAGACAAAGTTTAAATACTTTTTACATGTCAACATCTGTACTTACCTAAGTTGCTGTATGTAGCACTGCAGGGGTTCAGGTCTACAGGACCTGCAGTATCATCTTTTTCCTCTTCCTTTTCCAGGTCGGGTGTGGGCAATGCTGGTGTGACTGAAGTACCATCTTGCTTTACTACAACAGTTCTTGGATCCCGATGAGAAAATTCCTCTGGCACATCGTGAGTCATGTGACTGAAACAAATCAGACCACCTGTGAAACTGGTATTCAATAGTTGTGTTAAAAATTAAATTTATGGAAGGTATACAGCTTCCATAAGTGTAAACAACTGGTTCTAGAACAGTTTGTCTGAACACTAGGAGGGCTCCACCTTGGTTTTTATATTTTGAGAATCTGGGTGGGGAGAGGAGGTATGTAGGCTCAGAGTGAGCTTGAGAATAACAGGCAAGGAAAAGAGTGGAACAATTTTTTTTTAGAGAAGAAGTGGCAAAGGTGAGGTAGAGGATGTTGAATGCTTAACTATTTAAAGACAAACATTAGCAAATATTTAGTAAAGCACTTAGGATATTTATCGTATTTGTTATACTATGATAGTTCTTTAATACTCTGGTAAATAGCCTACTTTGCTGTATAATATTTACTTTATTTAATATTTACTATATACTAAAGTATCTAGGAAAGGACCAGAACAAAGTTGAAATTGGACTATCTACACAAGGAAGCTACATAACTGTTTTGGCAGGTAAACCAAGGTTAGGCAGGCCTTTTATCCAGGAGGATAGAAGAAACAACCTTTGCCTGTATGCAAGCATCAGGGGAAGTAAATGGAAAAGCAAGTTCTGCATTGTAGTGAATCCTATCGATTAAAATGACTCTGAAGAATCTTGGTGGCCATAAGCCAGTGTATAATCAAGCTTGTTTAACTAATGCTTGCTCATGCCAACTCTTCCAATTCTCCCCACTCCCTAACCTGGCTAAACTGTGCCAACTCTGTGGGTATGAAATAGAAAGGGATTAAATGGCCACTAAATGCTGGAATAGAAATCTGGCCCAGTTAGCAAATCTCAATGGGCTGGTCAATGAAATAATTTCAAAAGAGGTTTCTGGGTCCCTGAAAAGTACTCCTGGAGAATCACACACTCACCAACTCTTCTGATTTCTTTACGAGCAAAGAGAAGCAAGGAAAGGAGACATGCACTATTACATATTATTTCTGCATTTTCAGCTGTAGTGAGTCACTGTGACATTTACAAGACTGTACCATCAGAGCACTTACCACCTGGAGATTTAAAGGAATAGATCTGAAGGAGGAGTACTTTCTTATCAAAAGGTACTTATCTCTTTCATTATGAGAACTGTACATATGGCTATGTATATATCCAGTCTTGAAGTCTGCTGGATATACAGCTCCAAAAATATTCTTTCAAAGAGGGCAGAGCCACAGGCCTCTATACCAGCACTGTGCAGTAAACTGTAAGTGACATTATGGGACCCAGCTCTTGGGAGTGGAGGGGAGGGATCACCCCACCAATAGTCATCAGAATTGTCTTATAATGGAGGCCTCACACAGTGGGCTGCCTTGGGCCATCAAGACAAAAGAGGGGCTCTGCACAAAGCTGGGCTCTCATAACAAGGAACATTATAAAAATCAAGGTAGTGGGGGCTCTACCCTCATGCATTCACAAAGACAAAGCAGACAGACATTTCCAGCACACTCTGAGGCGCTGCTCAGGGTCAAGACTGGGTATCACTGATGGTTAACAACATGCTTCAGGAGAGGGAAAATTTTCTTGTTGGACACAAGTTACTATAAACTCCTCCTAATTTCAAAAAGACAAATTTAAAGTGATTTAAAACACTAGTCTTCCTTTGAGAGGAAAAACATTAAAGCTCCAAATATTCTCTTCTAATTCTAGCGTGAGCTTTAGGGGTTGCCTGAGAAGTTTCTGGGAGCTCTTAATCTTGGCATCCTTACTCTTGCCCTCTTCCCTACCTCCTGGTTAAAAGAAAGCTCTCCTTCCCATTTGTCAGAAAGGGTTGGTGGGATTTCAGAAGCTACAACTCCACCTCACTTGTCTGTCTTCCTCCAGCAATGGGCTGTGTACACGCAAGCTCAACTACTATGCAGCCACAGAAAGAGCAGCTTGCTCGAACCTATCAGGAGTTAGTTTCCTGGGCCTACTCCCCATACGTGGAACACTGCTCTGCGCTCTGAAGGGTTCAGCCAAACAAAACGTGGATGCTAACAAGCAAGAAACATCAAAGACTCACCCACTGTACTCACTGACACAATTCCCCATTGGAGGAAGTTTTCACAGGGTCTCTTTGAGTCTGTTAATCATGTTCTGAAATTTGGATGAACCACGGCATGCACTGAGATCTGGAGAACTACAGCTGGGCAGGCTATGTGAAGAGCTGAGTTCTGTACCTTAATAACACCTACCACACCTCGACCTTTACCTTAGGGGTTTGGCCTGGGAAATGTGCCAAATTACCTTTGGGGTAAAGCTAAGCAAAGTGAAAGCTACTTTGATTAACTCTTTGAGGACCAGGGTAGCACAGCCGACATTCCAGATAAAGAAAAGCTTTCATATGCATATTTTAAATGAATGCACTGGTACATTAGGCCACCAATTAAAATAATTGTCAACTACAAAGAACTCTGCAAAAAGACCCAGTGAAAGTAAAATCACACAGATTTGAAAGTGGGTGCTAAAACATTTAATGTGCATTTTCAGTGACAGCAGTATCTGAAAGCAGCAAGAACTTTTTAAAAATGTATCAATGATATGTCACGTCTTAATGTTTGATGGAAGAACATCTCTTTGTATGATTAAAATAGTAAAAGGGAGAAGTTCTGAGAGTTCAAGCTTAGGTATGGTAACTTACTAAGAGAAACAAATAACAAAGTATTGAGAATAGCATCAGAGAAGGTTGGCTCAGTTCTGTGTGTAAACAAATAAGCAGACAGATCACCCAGGAAGAAAATAAAATCTTACTATTAATTTATCCCTAGGTATATGAATTTTACAAGGGAATTTAACTTTTGACCATTGATTCTATTTCATATTTAGACATAAAATCAGAAAACTCTCCCAAATACTAAAATGATGTTTTATACAGGCTTTATCTCCCAATGAAGTACTTCACCATCAACACTTCATTGGGAAATATTTAATGCAATGGAGAAAAAACTAAAATGAGACTCAGAACCTGGGTTTTGTTTACCTATTGCTTTGATCTTCTGAACAGAGTTGATACCATGAGGAAGAAGATAACAGAGAAAATGAAAAGTTACCCCGTCCTATCCATGAGACAGATGGTAAAAAAATTCTATAAAATGAAAATTACAAGAAATCTGTGAGACTTTCTTATATAGTATATGTTAGCACATGTCTTGAAACAGTAAAATAATGACCAAGATAACTAGACTTTTTCATGGTAAGTACAATTTGATATTCATTACTATAAAGCAGAACTGTGTTTAAGTGATAAATGGCCTATGAAGAGAAAGCAGTTATGGCTTTTATTTTTACGCTATTTAAGTTCATGTTGAAATGATACCTCGTACTGCAATGTTAGGTACAGTCTGTAGTAACAGCAGTGCTGATAGCCAGGTTCTTAGTCTTCAAGCTGGGTGGAATCTGACTTAGCTTACCCTTTGTACTGTACCCTCAGCAGTCATTCTGTTTCAAATGGAAGACAACGCATATCTGTACAGTAAAGCCCTATGTACCCTGGGGTTCTGCATCCTCAGATTCAACCAACTGCAGACTGAAATATTCAGAAAAAAACTGGGTCTATATTGAACATGAAATCAGAAAACTCTCCCAAATAATAAAATGATGCTTTACACAGGCTTTTTCTTATCATTATTACCTAAACAAAATAGTATAATGTTATTTACATAGCATTCACATTGTATTAGGTTATTATAAATAATTCAGAGATGACTTAAGACTCTACAAGAGGATGGGCACAGGGTGTATGTAAATACTATGCTATTTTACAAAAAGGATTTGAACATCTGAGGATTTTGGTATCCAAGAGGGCCTTAGAACCAATCCCCAGCACATATTAAGGGGTGACTACTTTAACTCTTTAACCAACTTTTCATTAATGGCCAATTTTTGATTGCAATTTGGTATGTCTGGTATGTCTGACCTGATACTTAAAAACCACATCAAAATCTCCACAAAGACAACTCTTCTGAACATGTGAATGAATATAAGGTATTCAAGGGAAACAGTGCCATTATTACAGATTTGTCTGTTATATAAATGAGTCCCCTGGAAGCTTATATCTCATCAGTCTGCAATATTCATACATAATTCAAAGCTACAGAAGCAATCTCCTGTGGGAAGCTCGCTTGCTTTACTTAGGTGGTAGGATTAATCATTACACCATCAAATGAAATAATCCTTTTTTTTTTCCTGGCAAATTTGCTCAAGACAAGTTTTCGTAAAAATCCTATTAACTATTTGAATGTACTTTTTAAAAAGGCAAATCAAATTCTGCATTAGAAAAGATTAAAGGCCTTTATGTATCCACATATGTCCACAATTTCAGTTCAACTTTATTTTTAAATTCAGCCACCTTCTGCTTTAGAAGGGATGGTGAAGGAAATCAAGACTTCTATAAGGACCATCTGCCTCTTGGGCCAAATGGTATTGTAAATTACCAGTTGCCAGCTCTATTCATGCCTCCATCTGCCTCCAGGTGCTCAAAACCACCAATAAACAAATGTATGATTTTAAAAACCTCCTCTTACCCCTAAAAACAGGACATATGGTACATGAACAACAAAATTTCATGGTTTTGGTTGCAGGGGTTGATGGGCCTTTGCAGAAACAGGACCTGAGTCAACACACAGGAGGAGAGCTGAGTTATCAAATCTCACACCTCTGTAATCTCCCTGGAGGCTAAATACCGGCCTCCATTTCTTTTTACTCTCTACCTCTAGGACCTGCTGGCAATGTGACATTTCTTAATCCTTTCTTGGTCTCTGGGCGTTCAACTTGATTTTGCTACATTTCCAATGACTGGCATTCTTGGGTAGAAAACTGTTGGCTCCACTGATTGCTATCTCCAGTTTCCCACTAAGTCACCATATCTGTAACTGAAAACGTCAAATTTCTTATCCTGAACTGAGATTAATCTTTAACTGACATCTGATGAGCTCCTGCTAGTATGTCTAGCACAGTCTGGCCAAACAAAGGTTGCTCTTACAATGTGAGTGAAGTGGCTCAGTCTTGCCATGGGGAAGACTGGCAGCCAGGCTGCAAGGTCTTGAATAGGCTCTAATTTTCTGACATTGCACAGAGATCCACTTTTTCTTTTGCTTCCTTCCTTCCTTTCCTCCCTCCTTCCCCTTTCCTTCCCTTCCCTCCCTCCCTCCTTCCTTCCTGTACTGGGGCTTTAAACTCAGGGCCTCATGTTTGCTAGGCAGATGTTGTTACTGCTTGAGCCTCTCTGCTGGTCCTCTTTTCTTTCTTTTAAAAACAGATGTGAATAGCAAATTGAAAGTGTCTTCAAGGCCGGGTGCTGCAGGTTCACACCTGTAATCCTAGCTACTCAGGAGGCAGAGATCAGGAGGACTGCAGTTTGAGGCCAGCCCGGGCAAAATGCAAGACTCTATCTCAAAAATACCTAACACACACACACACACACACACACACACACACACACACACACACACACGGGCTGGTGTAATGGTTCAAGAGGTAGAGCATGTAAGGCTCTAAGCTCAAATCCCAGTATCAGAAAAAAAAAAAAAAAGTGTTTCCAAGGCACCAGATTGCATGACAGAAAAGTAGGTAAAAAACATAGGCCACACTAAATCACTGTCATCTTCATAACACTAAGAAAAATTACAGTTTTAAAATCATATGAAACATAAAGTTGGAATGGCACCTGGGCAAATTAATAGAAAAGACAAATGAATTTTGGAAAAGACCAATAAAATAAGGTTGCCATTCTTATAGCTCTCAGCATCCCCATTTCAGCCTTGGCTCACTTCTGAAGAATGGGGTAAGGTGCTGATGTATATTTCCAGAAAAAGAAATAGCTTAAGAGATATCCACAGCCCTTATCACGGGACCTAACCCAGGGAAGGTATGGGGTCCTGGTCTATTTCCACATGTCCAGTAGCACTGGTGAAGCAAGTCGGCACACCTTTTTCCATTCTCCTATCTCCCTCTTCCCTTTGAGTCAAAGTGGGGAAAGGAGGACACTTAAGTCTCCAAAAATGGCGGGCTCACTGAGGGAACGCATGTGAGACGGGGTGATACCAAAAGTACTCAGAACACATTCCCACAACACTGCACAGGCTGCACAGTTTCCATTTAAGTCACCAGAACACTTTAAGAGGTAGATATAATTATTCTCATTTTGCAGGTGAGAAAATGAGATTAAAAGAAGTTAATGAAGTAGCCCAAGATCAAATGGGTATTTAGGTGGTAACGTAGGGGTGTGAACAATCTAACTCTAAAATCCACGTCTTTCCCCTCACTGGTACCATACAGCAAGTGTAGCATATTATAGAGACCCAATAAATGCTTGCTTAGGAAGATGAAGTAAAGGTGCTTTGAAAAGAATATAGCTATGATAGAAAAATGAGGTAATAATGATTACAGATGTGTTCTACTTTGAAAAATCCTGAGCAAACAAATTAAAAAAAAGTAATTATTCATACTGCAAAAGGATTTTTAAGAGTAGGGACTGCTCTAGTACAGAATGCTTATAGACATCTATCTGGCTCCTAATATCGACTACCGCCATTCCTGCATTTACTGAGTGTTAGGCACTGTGCTTAAGGAGCACCTACTGACAAGAGTGGGAAGGACTGTGGTTGTCATAACCACAGTAACAATAGTAGTGCCTATTCTGAGCCAGGTCTCTCAACAGTAGCACTACAGACATTCGGGCCAGATCATTCTCTGTTGTGGACAGCTGGCCACATAGCAGGGTCATACTAACATTTCTTGCCTCTACCCACAAGATGCTAATACTACCCCCTTTCTTCCCAGTTGTGGCAACCCAAAATGTCTCCATTGTCAAAAGTGTCCTGGGATTTACCCCCTTCCTGTTTTTAAGCCCTTTACCTAAATTCAGTGGAGATTCACAACAACCTATTAGGCTATCTGTGTTTTAAAAATGAAGCATTTATAACCCAGAGAGGTTCAGTTACTTGTCAGAGCTGAGATTCAAATTGCAGTTTTGCCTTACAGTCTAGTCTGTTCTCTGAATAGCTACATTTATCTGTCTCAATTTATTTAGGAGGAAACTGAGAAGAAGAGATCATGTAGTTTTCTAAGATGACAGAGCTAATAAGTGGCAAAAGCAAGATTCAAACCCAGGTGTGAGCAACTTCAAAGTCTGTATCTAAAATATTATGCTGATGGTTATCAAACCTAATGCACCTAAGAACTACCTGGAGAGCTTGTTAAAGATGTGAGTTCTCAGCTCCAGAGGTGGGGACAGATTTAACAACTTCGGAGTATGGTCCAGGAACCTTTACACACTCTAGGTGATGCAGATATAGCTGGCCCCAACACTACACTATGAGAAAAGTATTTTTCACTGATTCCTTCTCCCAGAAAGAGAAGGCCAGTAAGTATGTAAGGAAGAAGATGTGAAAAGTGAGCAAGAACATTTTAAGCAATGGTGCATCATTCCCCAGAAGTGATATAAGCAGAAAAGTAGAAATAAATAATTTAAGTACCACTGATAAGAAACTCATAATCGACTATTTAAAAAAGAGAAGGGTAATACTTTGGAACCATTCCTGACTTTCTGATGTTTATTCTTAGAGCACAACTATATACAGTCACAAAGTGTTAGGAACTGAGGATTGGTCTAGTATCACATAATTTTTGTTATGAGCCCTGGCTGGCTGAAGACCACACTGAATGTAAGAAATTGCATTTATCTAAATGTGCAATGTTCTCTCTACGTGAAGATAATAAAACCATTCTCCTCCAGAAAAAAAAAAAAAGAAATTGCATTTATGACTTTAAGTCAAGTCTTCAACATGCAGTAATGTCTCAGTTATTTCATCAACAGAGGTGAGCATGAAGGACAGTCTCCTGTGACTAAAAAGGTGGCTACAAGAGGTACCACAGTGCCTGCATCTTCTTTTCCCTCTGCCAGGAGGGAACAGGTCTGTTCCTGAAATACCTCTTTAGAGCAGCTGTTCCTCCGTTCTACATCATCCACAGATCCTTGAGATGACCCCGATGTCACATGTTGGTCTACAAGACCCTTCACAATGAGGCTACAATGCATGTTTTCATCCTATTCCAACCTGTCTGAGACAGGATGC